GGAGACTCGGGGCTGCCCTGAGTTGCTCCTGGCCAGGAATCGTCTCCCTTTCACCCCAGTGGCTCCTCCCTCCTTCTCCCCCACGACCCCTGAAGAAGTCATGGACCAGAGATGGCTGTCGCAGAGCATTAAGAAATAATTTTTTAAAAATCTTCCAAAGGCTGGCAGCACAAAAATCCCTGGCTCTGTCGTTTCTCTGTTTCTGCAAACAGCAAAAGATCCATAATTCTCACACTTAATGTAATTCCAAGGCATCTAAAGTGATTTACAGTCGGTTTACTCAATACTTTCAGCTTTATTTAATGTAACAGTTATGGCACATAAAAAGTTTATTGAAAATCCTTTGGGAGTGCGATTGAGTAAGAAAGAGTCGTTGCTAATACCATTACAGGAACAGGAGGAAAGGATTTCAGCCTGTTTTCTCTCTGACCTTTATGGGCCCACGAACAAGGGTGAGGGGGGGAAGGCTGTCTCTCCCGCCCTGCCCTCTGCCATCACGCAGACTTGCACCCGGCTCACTGCAGGCCTGCCATCTTGGTTGTGTCTGGAAGGTTCTTTTTCAGGCTTGGATGGCCTGGCAAGGGGACTTGGATGAGAGCCCTCGGTTTAGATTACTCTGGAGTCTCTGTTCTATGCAGAATCCAGGTTCAGGAGGGCCCGCCAAAGGGAAAAAGACAACGTTATCATCTTTTCCCCTCTGATGCTGCCCTGGTCGCTCTGTTTTTAATCAGCTCTGCTCTCTGTTTGGCCCACCCATTCTGGGATTTGATTCGGCCTCCTGGAGTCCCCCACCCCGAGCTGTGGAGGGGAGGTGGGGGGGGACATGGCAAACACTCTCCAGACCTTTTAGAAACAGATCTGGTCACTGCTGTAGAGGAGAAGGCACTGCTGTTCCAATATGGTCCCCTCGCTGTCTGCCTCAGAAAGGAAATCATCTATTAAAAGAGCATCTTAAAATAGTTGACATGTGCCCACGTGACTGCCCATTGGTTGAAAAAGAAAATGAAAATCTTGGAGAGAGCTTGGAAGTCAAACCCCAGAGCCTGACTCTGTGATGCGTGGGAATTCAGTGAAAGTGGATTCTTGTCTCTCGATGAATAACGTCATTTCCGGTGTCTGCTCCTCCCCCGGGACTGCTCATACTTGGGAATTCTACGAACCATCATGGCAGTAGAGTGGACCTGGGTGTCGGCGAATATTCGCATTTAGTCTTTCCTTCATCTCTCTACTACATGCCACACCTACGACATTCCCCTGTCCTCGTGTCTCTGCTGGAGAGGTGCAATGCCTCTGTGACTTCAGTTCACTCCTGTGACCTCTGAACGACGACTCTATTCCAGACACCCAGTCCCCAGGACCTCACTTCCCGGCTGCCTTCACCCACCTTGAATCCCATATCGATTGAAAACATTTTCTCAGTATGTTTCATCAGCCTGATGATTCAGTTCTGTTGTGGAAATCCCTTCTGTGTTCGTAATACAATCAAAGTAAATCACTTTCATTTGGGAAGCACAAGCCGGGGAGGAGCCTGGGCCTTTCCAATGGGGAGTGCCAGTCCCCGTTCCCACAGACACCCTTCTGGGCCCTGCTGGGAGCCTGGCAAGACACCCCCACCTTCCCCAGATCGCCTCTTCCTGCCTCTGGCCTCCCCACCAGGAGGTAACTCTGAATATACAAGTGTAGAGTAAAGTTCTTGGTAAAGTTTGTATCTTTCCCCTTCATTGTCTTCATACCTGACTCTTCTTCAGGTATTTTAGTCACGGCTGTAAGAAAAAAAATCATTTTCCTTGCTGGAGGAACTTACGGGCTTTGAGAACAGTTGGAGTGACAGGTTGTGAGCCATAGTCCTCAGCAGGTGTGGCCCCCTGTGGGCTTCATCAGAAAATGCTTTAAAACGGGCCTCTGCTAGTAGCTGGCTCCTGGAGGACACAGTGATTTGCAAAGCGCTTTGAGGCAGGGACCTAACTGAATCTCTTGCAGGTAGCTTGTAGGGTACATATCTTCACATGTTACAGATGGAGAAACTGATCCTTAAATGAATGAGTCAATCAGTACCACACAGTCAGTGGCTAGGTTGGGACTTGAAGCCAGAGCCAGTCACTCCAAACCTTGGGCTTTTTCCACCCGGAGGAACTTCATTCCCTGTAGTTTGCAAAGCGAGACTTGTCATCCAATAGACTTTGGGCAGCTCTTGGCGATAGTGAAGTGGCAAATGTTTATATTTGATCCCTTCTGCTCTCGTGTCTCACACTGTATTCCCTGGAGGATCTTGCCCTCAACAAATGCTATTGTAGTTATTTAATCATGAGTGATGTTGCCAATGTAAAATCCCAAAGATATTTTAATTTAATCAGAAACGTCTTAAAAGACCCGAAGCTTTCAAGACTGAAGCAAGTAAAGACCTAGTGGAAGACAGGATAGAATGAAAAAACGGGGGGAAAGAAGGCTCTATTCAGTGCTAGCGACATTTTAGCATCTTGTTAATGCCAACTTTCTTGTAAGAATAGCTTGGTGTCACCAACTGATCTGACTCATTAGTCAATGTGGACCCACACGGGCCTTTCTGGTCAGGGTAGTTGGATCAATAGCCACTAGAGGGCAGCAGAGGGCTGGAACAGCTGGTTAGACTGGAAAGTAGGTTCACTTCTCAGGAACGGGTGAAACTGGAGTCCAGAGGGACCCAGTGGGATTGCCACCCGTGGCGAATACCGCGAAGCTTCCCCCAGGAAGAGCCCTTCTTCAGGACCCATGCATCCATGTCTCGGGGCTGGGAACACTGGCTGTGGACAGCTCACAGCTGTGTGGTCTCAGAGCATGGCCCCGGGCAGCAGGGAATGGCTTCGCTCAGGGTGACGCCTTCTCTGCAGGGATGACCAATGGTTGGCTCGTGCGGGAGACAAAGGCCTGGCTCCCTGCCTCAGTGTGGGACAAGTCTCGAGGGCCATCCAAGATCCAAAGCTCCGTTCCAGATCAGTTTTCCCCTCCGTGTCTCCGGAGACCACCCCCTAATAAACACATTGTCCTCAGAGAGTTTCCAGCAGGCCCTGTCTGTAATTCTCATATCTACTATAGAGACGCCAACAGTTAACCCAGCAGAGGAAGGGGGTGGGTTAGCATCCAGCCTGGATCATGCACGAAACACAGACAGGGGGTCCGAGGTCAGGGCTGGAGGCAGTTACACGAAGGGAGCGATCAGGCTAAGATTCCAGGAGTGACTGAGTTACAGCTAGAACCCAGTCCAGCATCTGATAGATCTGGGCCTACAAATGCCAGAACCAAAAGGAGCAGAGTGGACCAAGGATGGAAGTCAAATTCCTTCAGTAATAATAATACCTAACCAGCCGTTGTTGTTTTTTGCTGGAGCAGATGCAGGCGCGGTGGGGTTGAGAGGCCTTCAGGGTGTCCTCCCTCCCACCCACAGCTCCCAGCACTGGGCAGCTCACCGCATCCTTGCCTCAAAGCCTCCCCGCCCCCACCCCAAAGCATTGTGTGTACTTGCATTGACCGTGGTTGCATTTATTCCCCCTGGGGCGACCCCCGGACCCCTAGGCGAGGATCACACGGCCCATTCAGACAGGCCCAGAGATACCAGCGCTTATGAAGATGTGGCCCAAGGAGCTTGGCAGAAAAATTGAGTTTCTTTGCTTTTAAGCTCCCTCTCCGATTTCCCTGAAATTCTTTGTCACCCTGGGGTCTGTAGGCCATCGCCGGTTTTCAAGTCCATAGTTGGATTATTCCACCTAAAGAATAGAGGGGCCAGGCCTTTCCAGCTTCAGCCGAGCCCCCTCCATCGAGCCTCCCATTGTTAGAGGAACAGACCGGCTCAGGCTCGCGTGCGGCAGATTCAGCATCGAGGACGGGTATCAGAGTCCGAGGCCTCCGCAGGGAGGTGACGGAAAGGCCTGCAGATTAATGTACTATTATTACATTACTCTTTAAGCTTCAGAGGTCTGCCAGGAGAGCTAAGCTCACTATCTATTCCGTGACATTTTAAGAACAAATAATACATTAATATATTTAATTTGAGAATAAACACATACATTACAGGCAAGGGATTTTGTCTGTGCTGATAAGACACCCAGTGACCTTTCCAGAGCAATCCCAGCACGCAGAGCCGGAAAGGGACGTAGCCCAAAAAACCCTTCTGTAGCTGTCGGTGGTACTACGTGGGCTTTCCTGCGGGCCTGGCCCTCTTCAGAGATGGAAGCCTTCGCTCTAATTACCCCTTCCATGCTAATCTGTGGGAACACTAAAACTTGTTGCCTCAAATGAGTTAATCAATTAAGTGTCAAACCACAAAATGTTGGAGATTTCAGTTTGTATTTATTACCCTGGCAGACACTTCCTCCCTTGGTCCCTTGGCTCCTTTCTTCTCCCCTTGCAGGGGAGCTGGCTTTTAAAAATGACCAGTCACTCATTGTTTATTTCTGGCCTGTTAGCAAAACAGTTGAAGTTACATAAGCCTGGTGCCCAGGGCTGGAGGAGCCCTGAGATTGACGGCTTGGAGCATGTTCAGGCAAAGTTGTGCATTTGCGCCGGGCCTCTCCTGGCCTTAACTTAGCACAGCCCGCGTCGGCCAAGCCAGCATCGTCCGCTCAGCCAGCATCGTCCGCTCTGCTCGCTAAGCTCAGCCACTTTGGAGCCCATGTTAATTGATTGAAAGCCTTGTTTATTGTTATGTCACTCTCACGAGGTGAGCAAGGGACAGGCAGTGGTGTTTCCAGGAGGCCCTGCTCAGATCCTCTGTTTTCTCCAGGGCCCTCGGCTCCCCGCCAGCTGTGTCTAGACCTGCGGCAGCTGCGGGCTCCAGAGGGACCGGGAGAATGGCCGAGCGGAATGCCCGGGGCCATGCCCGGTGCTCTGGGTCCGGCTGCCTGTGCCTCCCGGGGGTTCGACTGACGTCACCCAGAGAACATATCTCTTCCACCCCAGCCTACTCTCACCATCTGTCTCGGCTGAACCATGTAAATGAGCTCACCCTCACATCTCAGGGAGGCACAACCAAAATAATGAGATTCATTCTACTTGGTGGATTTAAAAAAAAACAAAAACAAGGTAAGACACGGTCCCAGTATTTAAGGAAGGTATAGTCTCATTGAAGAAACAGAGATTTATGTATATAACTGTAGAAAAAAAAGTAACTCAGGACAATGCATACATGCTAATTGTTACCGAGTCCAAGCTCATACTGCTCACTGCACGACAGGCCAGTAAATTGAGAGACGAGTTGTTGGGGCAAGGAATAGCAACTTTATCTGGAAAGCCAGCAGACCAAGAAGACGGTGGCTTGGTGTCCCCAAGAACCATCTTGCTTGAGTTAGCATTCAGGCTTCCTTATACTAAAAGGAGAGGGAGTAAAGTCAAACATTTCCTGGTTCTGGTCAGCCTCTGGAAGGGATGTGTTCATTTCTTCCTCCCTGCATTCATTCATAGGTAGGTCTGGTTAGGATGTTTCCTGGGAGCTAAACAAAGGTGTTTTAGCTTAATGCTCATCACATGGGAGGCAGGGTTCCCAGAGATGGGCCACTGTATATAACTTAACCTTGTAGGCAGCATCCTTTTAGTGACTGACAAGCAATAAAATACAAAGGTTAAAGAAGCAGATCTAATATGGAGTCAGATTTGCTCTTCACTTTTACACAGTTCCTGAGCTGTGCACTATGTGTAGGTGGGGCTCGTAGACGGGTCATCGATGTGGTTAGAACCACCGGTCTCTCCTGGAGATGGTATGTCCTTTTTAGACTGGTAGGTGGGTAGGCTGTCTCCGTGGCTCCAAAGCCTGTGGATTAGAGACTGTCCATAGTGAGTTACATCCTTTGTAAACTTTGGGGAGTTAAAATGTCCTTTTTTGTGATACAGTGGTGACAGTCAAAGGTAACATTTCATTGCTTGAATTTTGCCAAACAAAATGGTGACCATACTCTGTTAGGTGCAGAAGATTTTGTTTCATATTTTTATGTTAAACTTTTACTTCTCCATGAAATCCCAAACACTGAATCCTCAAATCTGTAGCCCCCAAGTCTGTCTTCATCTAATATTACTACTTCCCTCTTAAAGCAGAGGAGATTGTGGAGAGAAGTCAGCACATTTGCCAGGCGTCCACTGCAAACTCTCTTTGAGCCTGTGCCCCTGGGGTCCCCACAGAGCTGAGGACAGTCAGGACTTCATTTCTACTGATGCCACACTTCGGTCACTCTGCATCTTCCAGGCTACTGTCCTGCATTGAAAATTCCAGTGAAAACACTAAAGGGCTTATAGAAATTTTCCATCTGAAAAAGATCTTGGATCTTGAGTCCAACTCCTTAGTTTTAGAGCTGAGGGAACTGAGGCTTAGAAGGGAAGGGTCTTCCCCGAGAGGAATGGTCACCCCAGTCTCCACTTTGGGTTCAGCCTCTGTCATCCAGTGCATTGCTCTCTCCAGCAGCCCTACTGAATCCGAGACACCAGACCCCTGGGACTGCTCCCCTTCCACTGGAACCCTGAGCTTCTTTGTCAGTCACCCTGTGATCAGATGCACCAGATGATTCTCAGAGAACCCCCTCGGAGGTCCCCCCGTCCAAGTCAGATGACTCTTTGAACTCTCGGATTAGTATTGTGTATTACAAAAGCCTGGGTTTAGAGTCAAAGAGCTATGTGTGTAAATTTTCCAGCTCGGGCAAGTAGCCAAATCACTACACAGCCATTGAACCATCCTTGAAACACAGACACAGAACGTACCTGGCAAGCTGTTCTCAGCATTCACTTGGTAGTGTATGAAAAGTACCTGAAGCAGAGCAGGGGTGAACAGTAGAAATTCTTTCCCCCAACTTCCCTTAGCCTGGGCTGTTCTTAATTAGGCTGAGAGCGAGAAGTGGTGGAGGGAGGGCACGATTCGCACTTTACAGGCCCTTGTGGTCACCTTGCAAGTTCCCCTCCAGGGTTAATCAGCCACTCTACCTGGGAAGCCCTGAGGTAGACCCATAATTTATATAGTAATGTAAAAACCAAAGCAAGATGGACAATATCGTTTCATCCCCACCCAATGTTAAGTTGCCTAATTCTCTTTATCTTAACTGTGGGTGGGTTTTTTGGGTTTTTTTGCATTATTTAAAAAAAGTTTTTTAATTGAAGTCTATAGTTGATTTACAATGTTGTATTAGTTTCTGGTGTACAGCATAGTGATTAAGTTATACCTGTGTTTTAATTAAGCCTTGAAGAAGTATTTTTAGGGCAGGATAAAAAGTCCCCTCTGACTTCCTAAGCAGCTCACTGGCCTCCATGCAGCCTTGAGGTTCAAGCATCGCTCCATTTCTCTGCAAGCAGGAACAGAGCAGAGAAGAGCCCTGTGAAATTGGTGCCTCCACAAGCCTGGAGAAGATCTAATCGGCCAGAGGAGACCCGTTGGCCAGCCTAGTCTTATACATCTGCCCATTTAAAACTCTGTCCTTTCCCCAATGCTTTAGATTCTTTCCTTTAACTTTTCCCCTAAAACATCTAAAACAATGCAAAAAAAAAAAAAATCCTGGACCCCAGTGTGCCTCTTCCCCAGCGAGCCTTGGATGGGTGAGTCCCTCCGGCCATCTCCTTACCTGCCTGCCTGCTGGCCAGACACGTGGCTCAGGCAGGGCTTTTGTTTCCTCAGGTGATGATTTACGCGGGTGGACCCCGGGCAGGGAAGAGTTGAGTATCAATTTCGCTGGGTTACCGTGTTAAATGACCGAGGCATGGATGGTTATTGCTGCCTCGGGAGCAAATGAAAGCCCTTTGCCTCCTGACACCGCCGTCCCCCCTCTGCTGACGATCAGTTAAAAATGTAAATAAAAAGACTGCACTTTGGAGAGAGTCCGCTCAGGAGGGTGGGGGAGAAAAATTGCAAAAGCGAAGTTTATCGATCCCCTGGTCAAGATTGATGGCACAATAAGAGCGGGAGGCGAAGAGTGATTTTGCTTTTGAAAACGTTGATGAATAAGCACTCAGAGGCAACAAATAGGCCAGCTCCCCGCGTGATGGACGGTGGTAGGGGGAACAAGATGCATTTTTATAAATGGGTGAAAGGAGAGGAGGACTTATTAAAAAAATGAATGACCACATGTGGCAGGGATATGCCAGCAGGGAGAAGAAAACCATTGATTTATGTGTACTACTGGCATTTGAAAATTCAATAAAAACATTGACAAATGAGAGGCAGACCTGGCCACAGGACAGCGCCGAGCCCGGGATGGAGAAAGAAAATGCCAAGGTCAGGGAGAAAGCACAGGAAAATCATGCTTATGTTGGAGAGCCTTTACATTAACTCGTCTGTATAAAGACATTAAGGAAAATCCTTCCATGATCAGATCAGTGCCCAGCTCTCCGAGTCCGCAGGGCGGGCGGGCAAGGGGAGGGGAGGGAGAGGCGGCTGGTGGGGTCGGGGGTGCCCTCGCTTCTCGCTGGGGCGCCGTGTCCTGCTGCCTGAGTCTGGAATGAAAGCATCCTCACAAGTAGTGGAATTTTTCTGTTGACGCTCAGGTTCTGTCCTGGGCTAGTCCTTCCCCGGGTCCCATTGCAGGCCCTTTTTCTGCTCTGCCCTTGTTTTGTGTTCACCCCTGCCGGTACCGATTGCCGCTCTGCTCCCCCAGGACAGGCCTGTCTCACGGCCCAGTAGCTCTCCTGGGGTCTGCAGATGAATGAGTGGCGGTGACCGGCCATCTCTTTGACTTTGGCACGCTCAGTGGTCTTCCTCTTCCTCTTCTCCACCCCCTTACACAGTCCCCATGTTTCTTCCTGAAACATTGTCTCTGAGCCCATCCATCCATCCATCCATCCTTCCAGCACATCTATAGAGCAGGGGCTCGGCACGTGGCACCATGCTGGGTGGAAGGGATGGATGTAACCTTTGACCCGAAGAGCCCCGCCAGAGTCTTCTGCTGAGCCGCGCTTCTCTGTAGAAGCTGCTGGTACTGAGCTCCCCGCCCGGTACTCTGCCCGAGCACAGCGGCT